TAATTTATAAGTAACTACTTGACTATGTACAAACTGCTGGTAGGTCATAATTCTCTTTCTCCCGTCTCATGTTCATCATGGAAATTAAATAAACTCCAAACCACAGATTGTAATGGCAGCGTTGAATGAATTGCAATGGCCTGCTTCATTATTCACTTGATATATTGTTATCGGGCTGGCTCACAAAACCACGGTGTCACAGAATATAGTGGAAGAGTTATGCATCGCGTTACTTCAAATTCGTCAGGTAAAATAGGTCCAGTATTTTTAATGTGTTTTATTATGGGAGAAGGAATGTTAATAGATAACCGCCGTTTCATGGACGCAACTCCCGTAGGGCTGCAGATGCGTTGTTACCTTATAAAAAAAGTGGGCTCTGCTTACCTCACTCATCAGATGAAACGCATACGTATAACTCTTCTTTCTTCCTTGCTCGACGGCTGCAGAGAGGGTTTGTGAGTGCAGCTCAATTTATAGTGGTCGATGATTTATTTGTTAATGCTATGTGCATCTCAAGCTGGGCTTTAAGTAGAATATAGTATTTTTTTATGGGAAAGATGGCAAACGAGCTGGCGGTTCACTTGATGTTAAATGATAACTGCCGCTCATTGACAATTGCAACACCTGTAGGGTTGCGGATACGTTGCCACCTTTTTTTTTACGTGAAAATTTGTCAAACGAACAGACGGTTTACCTGATGTTAAGTGAATACCGCTGCCCATGGACATCTGCCACACCCGAGGGTTACAGATGCGTTGACAACCTTTTGAATATTGGGCTCCGGCTACATCACTCACCAGACGAAACGCGAAAGTATTTGTCATACTTTATGCTGGTCTTATCTTATATTAAAGTGGCCCCAACTACCCCGCTCACCAGACGTAACGCGGAAGTTTTATATTTCCACTTTACGTCGGTCTTCTGTGAGGTCGTGGTACTTCCCCGGACGGACCTGCCTATTCGTGCAACTGTGAAGACTGTTGCGTGGACCTACCACAGTGAAATTTGGAAACACATCTTCAACCCGATGTTGTATATGTCCATTGGCGGCGGTATTCACTTAACATTAGGTGAACCGCCAGCTCATTATCCATACTGTCACATAAGGAAGGTTCTTGAGGTTGTCTCATTGAGGTTGTATTAAAATGCTAATATCGGTACAAGGATGCGGGGAGATAATAATCGTAAATTATTATGATGTTTGTTAACTTCAGCGTAGGGAGGGGGGAGTCCTACCCTAGTCGATGACGTCAAAACCATCTCCACTGTTCGCTTCCTTGGCAAAAAAAATAATGTTTCCTATTTCAATGCCATCAAATTTCGCAAGCAATATAAATGTTATCGTTGCGATAGCAATAGCAATGTCAAGCGCAATAGCAAGCGTCTAGCAATTTTATTTTATTGTTAGAAATAAGAAGCTATTTTTAAATCCATATTTATATAGACGTCACAGTCAGCTTCATTGAAAGTAAAAATAACACGTTGTAGGCTGATCGGTGACGAGATTTATTTGGCTACATATTCATATAATATGCTGTATATTATGTTAATAATTATGTGAATAATAAAAAAATTAAAAAAAAGTCTTTCGCGGGTCACTCAATTAAAGTAAAATGTTAAATAATGGATCGATCAGAAAATAGTAAAATGAATTTGTAAAGAAATCTATCTACTTTGTTGTATTTTTAAAGAAATGCTTGGCGCCGTCTAGTGTGCATACTTTATCACACCTTTGGCTTTCAGATATTAGATGGCTCCGTGGCGCAGTTGCTAAGTTATTGATTACGGCGTCGTGGGTCATGGGTTCGATACACACACACACACATTAGGGACAACTATTTGTTTCGGATCTGGGTGTCTGTCCATGTGAAATTTGTGTTTGCAAAACGCTCGTACAACACAGCCTAATGTGATCCTACATTAAGGGCAATGTTTAAAAAACATTTTGAAATGAAGGCTTATGTTTAACATTGTGGTATTTGCTTGTCTCTCTGGAGATGAAACCTAAAATGTGATTTTTTTGTAGAAAAATCGTTGAAAAAGTTTCGCGGCTGCGGAATTCGATCCTGCATCTCCCTGCTAACGCACACAGGCACAGGACATTTACCATGACACATCAAGACACGAAAATCTCGACATTTATATACTTCCTATAATGCTTTCACAGCTTGGCAACTTGAACTTTTAGTGTGCATATGTCGCAAGTTATTTTTATGTGAAAAGTTGCCAAGCGAGCAAAGGGTTCACCTGATGTTAAGTATGTTCAGTGATAGCCGCCGCCCATGGACATCTGCTACACCCGAGGGATTTTGAAAATTGGGCTCTACCAAAGTTGTCAAGTAGGCACACGCAAGTCTTCACTGTTGCACAAATGGGCAGGCTCGTATGAACTACCGCGATCGGCCCGGCGTGGAATCGGAGCCCACTGTATTAAAAGGTGGCAACGCATCCGGTACACTACGGGTGTTGCAATTGTCCTTGGGCGGCGGCTATCACTGAACATCGGGTGGACCGCCAGCACGCTTGCCGCCTTTTCACGTAAAAAAATATATCGTACTAGCTGCTGCCCGCGACTTCTTCTGCGTAGAATAGGCTGAAGGCGTAACATTCAGACAGAAATATATACATAAATTATAGCCTATGTGTTGTTCTGATGTATAGGCTACATAGATATTATTGTAGTTTCATTAAAATCCATTCAGTAGTATTTGCGTGAAAGAGTAACAAACATCCATCCATACATACAAACTTTCGCCTTTATAATATTAGTAAGGATAGTAAGGATTTGTTGCTATGTGCGCGTCTCGAATCGCTTTTGACGACCGGCTGATGCTCCTATGCCTTTTTTGGACGAATTCCATCCCATAGAGAGATTCTCTTCGGCCTTGCTTATGACGAACGTGGAATACAAATCGAGTTTTGCAGTTCGCGGTGACCAAACCCTCATGACCCTTCGGACTGTCCACCTGTTTGGAGGTTATTTTATTTTGCGTTTAACCGATGGCAAAGTACTCGTTCTTTTTTAGATCTTTTTATGGTTTGTTTGGGCTCTCCAATGATAGCTCTCCAATGTTGCAATAGAGACAAAAAAGCTAGTTTATATTATATTTTCATTCTTTTTCGATATTCGTATATTAATTTATATAAATCTTGAACGAATGCAAATGAATCATGAATGCAAAACTTGTAATGAACAGATAGATATTCATACAGGAGAGGAAGTTAATAAAACCAGGTAATGATTTGATAAATATTGGGAATTCTCTTAGTAAGATCTTTAACACACATTTTAAAGAATATATCGGTTACAAATTGTTTTCGTCTTATCTTTAATTCAGCAAAATGTAATGTTATATCGCATACAAAGTGTTTAAATTTTGGTACAACTCTAAATTTTTTAAATGTTATTTTTACGCATAAAATAATATCGTGACAGTATCATAGAAGGCAATGTTCAACATTGCTAAGTATCTTGTACAGTCCGCAATTTCGTTCGGTTTTAATTCCCGATCTTTCACTTGAGCGTTTTACAGAGTCCATGATCTAGGGAATGCTAAAAATCCGTAAATTAATGTTATTTAACAATTTGTACTATTCTTGTTAACTTTCATGTCGCATCTTATTTAAAAATCCACAGACACATAATACGTTGTCCCAAATAAGCGATCGCGCAATGTGGTAACACTGGTGGTTGATGCACCTTAACCAGTTTTATGGATGTCGTTAATCCATTACCCGCTCGGCCCATTCGCCATGTAGGACACGTCGGAATCATTAGCGGCGGGCCAGCAATGTAATAGGAATCATTGCTAATAGCATACGGTGGATTTGAAGGCGTCCGCAGTAAATAGCCTCGGGTACAGGCGCGACGTCATTGTTTATCTTGCGGCCGCGGTGTATGTTATTGTTATCCAGCAAGTGTAGGTGCGCGCGGGCGCGGGAACTGCGCAGTCGTAGGTGCAAGAAATTTATTAAATCTGTCGTATCGCTTTTGAGCTCGTTTGTACTTTGGTGATGCGCAGTCTTGGGTGCAAGAAATTTATTAAATCTGTCGTATCGCTTTTGAGCTCGGTTGTACTTTTGAGATTCGCAGTCTTACTTCCAAGAAATGTAATAAATAAATCTGTCGTATCGCTTTTGAGCTCGGTTGTACTTTGGTGATGCGCAGTCTTGGCTGCCAGAAATTTATTACTTCTGCCGTACCGCTTTTGAGCTCGGTTGTACTTTGGTGATGCGCAGTCTTGGCTGCCAGAAATTTATTACTTCTGCCGTACCGCTTTTGAGCTCGGCTGTACTTTCGAGAAGTTGCGATAATTTCGCTTTCGACGCGTTGCAAGCTGACAAGCATGGATTGACTCCGCTTTGGAGTGTATTGTAGGTGCAGGCCCTGTAACAAATTTAGTTAAAACTTAGTGTTTGAAATGAAATAATGTAAAAAAAAAAACTATGTAATTTCTGTATGTAAATTATTTACATGAACAACTTTTTCGTTCATGACCATTATTAGTACCTATGAGTATGTATGAGAATATTAAGTATTTATCATATTATATACTATTTTAGTTAATTTGTTTGCTAGTTTTTAAGTTATTGCGCGTACCTGAAGATCACACCACACTATAAGTTGATTGTCTAACAATGCCATAAGGCTTAAAATCCGTCTTTTGTGTTCTTCTATTTGAAAAGTAATGCAATAAAGATTAAATGAAGTAAATAATGCATACGGTTGCTTTGTCAAAGTCATGAAAAATAGGGGAAAACGTGAAGAATACTAGGCATTTTTTCAAATTCTCAAAATTTTTCGTCACCCCAAAATGTCGTAAAATAGAAAAAGTAGTAAAACACTGGAAAGGCATTGAAAAAAGTTACGACTGAAAAAATATACCAATGCATTGGTACGCGTTTCACGAATAGATGTTAAACAATCATTTGCATATATACGTTTACCTTTAAAGGTATTTTTTCGACGGTCGAGTTGTTAGTTGTCAGCCCGTGACAAGATGCAAACCACAGACAAGGTGCACCCGCTGACAACATGCAACCATAGAAAAGCAACCACATATCAGGCGCGCTCACAGTTGAGGATTGTCATCGTTCGCGCGAAACCCCCCCCCCCCCCCCCCCACACAATACCCCACCACCGCCCCCCCGCCCCTGTCGCGTCGGCCGCTCGCCCCCGAACGGTGACGAAACGCCGTAATGCGGAAACTTCCGGAAAATCGGCCATCGTCGTCTACCGGGACGAATGCGCGCGAAGATCGGTAATGCCCCCCCTCTGCTTCCCGGCTACGGTCCGTCGGTCGAGGTCCCACGCGGTCGTTGCCGCGTTTTTACCGTCGCCCGTGGAACGCAGACGAAGCTCGGCGTAGTCAGAGGTCCAGATCCGATACAATCGCCTCCAGATGTACCAATTCTTGTCCAATTCTTTAGATTAGGAACGACTCGAAGACTTCAAGGAATTGTGCATATATACGGATTGTTTATTTGAAATGAACGATAGTTAACTGTATTACGGATTATGTCGTGGCTTATTTTACTTTTAAAACACCCTACGTTGCTATCCAGGTGTCTTTGTTAAGTCGGACTACCGTCAGCTCGAAAATTATTAATTTTATTTCGATCCACGCGGCACGCCCTAACGGTATCATGAAGTCTCGCAGTGCTGGTATGCTTAGGTCTACATTTAATTTCAATCAATTTTCCCTAAATGCTCATCATCATTTCAGCCTGTTTTAGTCCACTGCTAGATATTGGCCTTCTCCACAGACTGCCACGAAGCACGATCCTGACTGATAACCTGCATCCATCTCCTTTTTTTATGTGAAAAGTTGCCAATCGAGCAGACGATTCACCTGATGTTAAGTGAACACTGCCGCTCTTGGACATCTACTACACCCGAGGGTTCCGGATGCGTTGATGACCTTTTGAAAATTGGCCTCCGGCCACCTCACTTACCAGGCGAAGAGCGACTTCCCGCACATTTGTATCTAGTATTTTATATAAAATTCGTTTAGACTTATTTGTTTTGAATATGGAATAAATAAAAAAGAATTTAATATGAGAAAGTTAAATAGTCCAAATTTGCTGCGAATCCCTGGGCCTTCGCAATCGATCTGGTTCGTCCCACGGCGTAACGCTACGAGCTCCGAAAATAGACGTCTTTCCGTTCCCCGCAACGCCGCGCCGGGGCGGAGAGAAGACGCCGCGCGGACCGGTAACGATGACGGTCGCGTCATCTAGTGACGCGACGCGGACGCTGAGCGGGAACTCGGTTTCGAATTTAGAACTGTTGCAACGGTCGCGAGTGGCCTGATAACTCGGCTCATTTAGGTGGCCATGTCGCCTGATCGTTGGGGACAAAATTTAGTGTCGTCCCCTGTCCTGTGCAACTCGGTTTCGAATTTAGAACTGTTGCAACGGTCGCGAGTGGCCTGATAACTCGGCTCATTTAGGTGGCCATGTCGCCTGATCGTTGGGGACAAAATTTAGTGTCGTCCCCTGTCCAGTGCAACTCGGTTTCGAATTTAGAACTGTTGCAACAGTCGCGAGTGGCCTGATAACTCGGCTCATTTAGGTGGCCATGTCGCCTGATCGTTGGGGACAAAATTTAGTGTCGTCCCCTGTCCTGTGCAACTCGGTTTCGAATTTAGAACTGTTGCAACGGTCACGAGTGGTCTGGTAAATCGGCTCATGTAAGTGTGGCCATGTCGCCTGATCATTAGGGACAAAATTTAGTGCGGTCCCCTGTCCTGTGAAACATGGTTTCGAATTTAGAACTGTTGCGACTGTCACGAGTGGCTTGGTAATTCGGCTCGTTTAAGAGGCCATGTCGTCTGATCATTAGGGACTAAATTTAGTGTCGTCCTCTAAACGGTCGTTCCGAGTTTATGTTTTGTGACTATCATGTGTAGGGAACATTCCACTATTCAGGAGTTTTATCCGAGCACCCGACATGTATGAAAAAATTAAATAAACAAACGCTTATCAAAGAGTTACTATTATCTGAGTACTTGTATATAGCTGTTTATATATATAGTCTGTTTGCGCAAAACTTAATGCCTCAGTGAAGATGGCTCCAGTTTGATCGTTTTTACTGTTAACTGCCGGCTGTAGACTAAGTAACGGTTTTATAGAAACAAAAAAAAACGCAACATAACTAAAGTCATTACAAGTTTAACTGTGGTAGGGCCACGACACAGTCTTCTTTATTGCTCGATTTGGCAGGTCCGTCCGGGGAAGTACCACGACCTCACAGAAGACCGGCCTGAAGTGAAAGAGTTATACTTCTCCATTTCGGCTGGAGAGTGTGGTAACCGGGGCATAATTTATTTAAAAGGGCTGCGCATCTATCTGCAACCATATCCTATAAAAAGATATTTCAAATTAATATCTAGTTTGCTAGGGTCGCGCGGTGGGCTGGGCTTATCTTAACTAGTGCTTTTTAAAAATAAATTCGTAATTTAATATCGAACCGGCAATCCGTTTCCAGCCAGTATGGTGTATCACTAGCGTCATCTGTTCGACGCGTCCGCGCGAACTCGCCCGTCACCCTATCCGCTTCGGCCATTTTGGATCCCGTTCGACTCGATGGACGTTTCGCGGATGCGTCTGCAACTGTCGCGCGTTTCCTCTGCGAGCGGTTTTTTTTTTTCGTGCTCGGTAATAATTCTTGACGGCCATGCTCTCCACTTGTGTATTTCAATGGACGTGAAAAAAGGTGGAGGTTGCGTAGGTTTCGTCCGATTTTTTCGTGCGTGCGTTGAGCGATAATTATTTCCTGCTTCGTCCGATTTCTATGATTATTCTTACTTTACAAATAGATTACATCGTCATCGTGGTTCCTTATAAATTTTGTCAGATTCAGTATGCGGGATTGCGTAAGGAAGTCATTAAAGAAATAATTCGGTCTGTTAGTATTTTTTATTCTAATTGTGGCATAAATTTTATATTATTTTGAAATCAAATTTATGTTTTATTTTTTTTTCATTCTTGTTTCTAATATGCATTCTAACTAAATGTGGTACCAAGTTAAATTCAACATTTAATTCTATGTTTCAGTTACACAAATAGTTGTCTCGTGTGGGAATCGAACCCATGACCCGCCGAAGCCAATACATTGGCATCTGGGCAACGGAGTCATCTAAGTGGGTAGTAGCGAATGAGGTACCTAAGCGGTTAGCAACGCTACTGCCTAGCCCGCGGGTAGCTCGAATGACCTTCAGGTGAACTGGCCGCGTGCAGGGATAAAAAAAATGTTTTTCTCACGCACGGTCGTTGACCCCGATCGGCTCGTCTTCGATCCGGCCCCCAACGCATACGAATACGCGAAACGCATCACCAATGATGTACGCGAGGCTTTGAAAAAACGTCGACGGTCGAGTTCTTGCTTGCTTGAGCGCTCTGAGACTCAATGCGCGCTCATCACGCTTTTGTTTTACGATAGCGTCGCGCATTCAAAGTCAAAACCAAGTCAATTATTTTTTTTAAGTAAGACCGAGTACAGTGCACATCGGTCTTACTTCAAAGAAATATTAATAATTTCAACAAATGTGCTCGCCTGCAGTATGACAAGAATTATTAAACGCCCAACTCCCGTGGGCAACACGAACACTTGTCCCGTGCGGGGAGTCGAACTCTCCACCCTCGGCGCTGAAGCCATTAGCGTTACAATTGCGCCGCCGTGTCACACATATGTGATTTAATTACATTTCCTATTCGTACCTACGGGTACATGTACATAACAGAACGCTCTTCCAGTTTTATGTCGGTGGAGAGCGCTGAATTTTTTAAAAGGGTACACGTCTCAGAGGGTGCGCCTTCGCGGGTCCTAAACAAACACAATGTTGCCGTTGTAATATGTCTAGCAAGCGGAGATGGTACCTGAGAATGTTGTATGCGAGATTCGTCGAACCCCACTCGAGCCCACCCGCTCTGATTGTACATCATATACCTAACGACGCGATATTTTCACGACGAGGGCGACCTCGGCACGGTGTAACGTGTTCAGACTGCTGCTCCCAGTCCAGTTCAGGCAATCCTTTTCACCGTGGGGGTGCCACGAACAGACCGGCTCTACGACAATGGGGTAACCATCTCAATGAAGTCGGCGTAAAGTGTTGTATCGTACCATTGTTTCCTCTTCCGATTGAGGGAAGATCTCATCGTTTAAAAGTACATTACAGTACTATACAAATTCTATGAACGCCCCTCTTGTACACTGCGGATGGTTCAGATTTCAACGGTTCTACCGTTCAAAGTCTGCGTCCATTATGTAGGGCAGGAGTAAACTGTATGTGCGATCGCTGAAAGCTTTCCGTTAGGTATAATATTTGCTCGTTTCACATTTTCCCTTGTTTAAATAAACCAACAACAAGAGGTCGTTCGTATTTTCGAGACACATTATTGGAAAGTCGATCGCCAGACAGGATACCTTTTTTTTAGTGAGAAGGTGGCAAGCGAGCTGGTGGTTCACTTGATGTTGCCAACTATTTGCGACAGTCGTAGAGTCGTAGATATAAATAAATAATAAATAATAAATAAATATTTTAGGACACATTTTTACACAACATTCTCTAGTCCCAAACTAAGCAAAGCTTGTACTATGGGTACTAGAAAACTGATAAACATACTTAAACATACTTTTCTTTTGTAAATAAATACATATTATATATATATATATATATATATATATATATATATATATATATATATATATATATATATATATATATATATTAACACACTAGAAAAATACTATGTTCATCACACAATATTTATCTAGTAGTGGGGATCGTACCCACACCCTCTGGCGCAGGAGGCACGTACACTACCCACAACGCCATTCGGGTTGTCATATGTTGCCACCTTTTGAAAAAGTAGGCTCTGCTCGCTTACCTCGCTCACGCATGAACGCTCATGCAGAAGTATATCACTTCCATTTCACTCCGGTCTTCTGTGAGGTCTTGGTACTTCCATATCCTATTCCTAACGCCGCTCAGAAGAGGAGACATTTACTTCTCCGTCTCCCTCTATCCTTGGAGCACTCGCGTCACAAGTGCGCTTAGTTGGTTCCAACATTGAAATATTACAGTATCATCGGACGCTTTAATTAATTCCAATTAACAAGGAAAACTGGTCCGTGAAACCAGTAACATCGTCTCGAGATAAAATAAAGCAAGTGCTGAGTTTACGAGAAAAAGTTTCTGTTTTATAGCGATTCGTCTTTATCATTATAATAATCCAACTGAGAGAATTATTTATTTAATTTGTAACATTTACCGTTTTAAACATAAACATTAAATAAATAGCCGTTACAAAATAAATAATTTGTACCCTAGATAGATAATTCCAGACATTCCACAGACTGCCACGAAGAACGATCTTGAGCCACCCGCATCCTCGATGGGCTTGCTGTTCATTTACAAAGGTCATTTCAGTAAATAGGCCACTTTTTATCCGGAACAAAAATACTATACGTCTTTTATAGATTAGACGCGTGTTGAAATAATTTCGAGGCTACCAAGTGGCAGACACTTCTTGTTATCCTGGTAAAATGCGCGATAGATGTAAATAGAATAAAGAGTAGACTGTTACTCTGATCAGCAGTTTTATATTGAAAACTCGAAAAGGGGAGGTGTACTAGTGTTCAGGTAATTAATTATCTATATGGCAATGGACACCTCAATTAAATAAAGTAAAATGTTTAGATTAGCGAGTGACCTTATATTTAAAATTGTATAGGACAAGCGTAAAATATAGCTACTTGTTTTAATTAATTTGGGTCATTTTTATTAATAAACGATATACGCGTCATTAATGTAACCTACTGATGTTTAATCGAGATTCAGCTGGCTATACGAAATGTAGATAAGGAAACGATTTCTTTCGCTATCGTTGCGTTGATGACGCAAGTGATGCCTATCTAACTGCAGCGGCGCAGATGCTATCTGCAAGGCGTTGTTCGTCGAACCGGATGTAACTGTAAGTGAAGAAAGAAGCGAAGACAACTTCCTCCGCAAAAGAAAAAAACAATTGATAAGTAAACATAACTCAACTCGTTTTTGCAAAACGCTAACCTGGTCTCCAAACTGAGCAAAATTGCACTATGGACTGTCTCGTTCCTACAACAGACGAAATGCACTTCTACTTAACGCTGATCATCTGTGAGCTCGTGGCACTCACCCGGACGGACCTGCTCATTCGTGCAACAGCGATACTCCCTACTTTATAGTTTTTCCCTACTTTATAGCTTTCGACACGATTGCGGTGATGCAGTTAAAATATTTGTAGAAATCGGACTCGGAAGAAGTCATCATTGAATTTGCTTCCGTTTCCTAGCTCAAAAATATCACATTGACTTATTTATTTATTTTTTTTACTTATTTTTTTTACACCCACAAGATGAACACTAATTTGAGACAATTTACAAATAATATGTTAATAATAGGCTAGGTGAATGCGATCTCATTTATAGATGCAAACCACAATGCATTAAATTTTAATACAAAAGAACTGAAAACTAAAAAGATAAAAACTCAGCGAATAGTGACTACAATGAAGTTTGCAGCATCAATACTTGCCGTATTGCGTACTCCAGTGCCCACAAATTTGTTCTGCTTTAACACGTGACCAAAGATACGAGACGGGCAAGCTCGCGTTATGGAAAGAGCGATGGGAATCTCGTCGCGTGTTGTCAACGCAAACGTTTTCGGCGGTCAATCCTTTTGTACCCCGAATAATTGCGAACGCTAATTGGGAGCCTTCCGCCGACAAACGCCAAGCGAGTAGGGTGTGCCTTTGCGTGTTGAGGAATCCCGGGATAAATAAATAAGTACTAAATATTTCTGGATATGACTGTATACAACGATATCTAGTCCCAAACTAAGCAAAGCTTGTACTATAGGTAGCTTACTGCAGCTTACTGAGAAACATAACATAGTTCCCTTTTGTAAATAAATACATATTATAGACATAAACACCAAGGCACTAGAACACCTCGCTCATCATACAATATTTTACATTAGTATAGATCGAACCGTCTCCCTTTAGCGCAAGAGACAGGGTCACTTTCCACTTCCGTTTGAATCTTACATTGCAGCCGATGTCTGAATGGGGCGATGCCAATCTTGTGAGATTCAACGCCTCCAAAACGCAGGCGTGTCTTTTTTCCGCAAAAAGGAGCCCTTTTAACTTGGCTCCTACTTTCCGGAATGTGTCCTTGGAATTTACCGACCGCCTTCAGTTATTGGGAGTCGAAATATCCTCAAACCTCAACTTTGGGCGGTTCATTGAGTCTAAAGCCAGGGTAGCTGCAAGGAAGTTAGGCGTCCTTGCAAAGGTGCGACGGTACTTCACGCCGGGACAGCTTCTTACTCTATACAAGGCTCAAGTCCGATCGTGTGTGGAGTACTGTTGCCATATCTGGGCTGGGGCTGCAAAATGCCATCTGGCTGCTTTGGACTTAATGGAGAGGCGTGCGGAAAGGCTCATTGGTGACCATAACTTGGTTAAAACCAATCTCACTAGCCTTGAGCACAGGCGCAGAGTAGCCAGCCTCTCGGTTTTCTACTCTCCAAAAGAGAGTGTGCGTTGGAGTTGCATGATCTTATTCCTCCCGCCCCTTTCCATCATCGGACAACCAGGCGTACGGCGGGGCTGCACCCTTATGCTGTCGACGTTCCACGTACACGAACATAGCGATTCGCTTCTTCATTTATCATCCGTACAGCCAAGGAATGGAATAACCTGCCGGCGTCCGTCTTTCCGTCCGATTACAACGTAGGTGTCTTCAAGGCAAGAGTGAATAGGTTTTTACTGAGCTAGCGCGCTTACCATCAACGACTACATCAGGTGGGATGGCAGTCAAGTGCAGGCCAGTTTTGAATTAAAAAAAAAAAAACCGCCAATAAATATTAAATAAATATTTCCGGATATGATTTTATACGACTGTTATATATCAAGTATCCAAGTAACCTTGTACTGTGGATAACTGAACAATTAATAAACACTATTAAAGTACCTTTTCTTTTATATTCATATTATAGATATATCAATATCCAGGAAGAATGAAAGCACTATGTTCATCACACAAAATTTTCTACTTTCGAACCCACACCCTCTGATGCAAAGGACACGTTCACTAGACACTGCGCTAATGGGGTTGTTACAATGCATATTACGTGCGGTTGTTATAGTGAATCAAACTCGAAGATACTGTTAGGTACTTTTGTGGTATGTTTTTGTCGTAGCCACATAACTTTTACTTGATTTATAAAGTACACTTTCCCGTTTCGTCTGGTAAACAAGGTAATGGGAGCCTACTTTTTTAATGTTGGCGATGCATCTGTAACAGTGTTTTGCTCGATGTCCATGGGCGGCGGTAATCACTTTACACCAGTTGAACCGCCTGCTCGATTGCCAACTTTTAACATAACACAAAAAAAGTAAAGATGTCTTCCAATTCGAGATTGGGTCGAGATTGGAATACGGAATGTCCACAAGTTTCGACGTCTCGTGGTTACTGTATTCGCGTAAATCGTTTTGAGCAAATTATCGTTAAATTAATTAATATGTCCCACACAAAAGCCGAAACGATTCTGCGAAACAATAACGCAGCGGAGGACGCCGGAGGGCCTTTCGTTTCTTTGTAGCTCGTGTTGTGTTTTTCGAGATTTTGTTTTACATTTTCTCTTTCTCCTCTCGCTTGAATCCGCTTAATTTGTTCTGTTTTTTTTTTGTCTGGATCAACCATTGTTGGCCTTGAGATGCCTTGAGACACCGGGCTTGAGGTGGTCGATCGCTGAGGGCGTCTAGCCTGTATCTCGGTTATAGGTGACTAAGCTCGAGGGCTCCCGAGGGGCGGTCAAGCTATTAACATATGAATTTGTTCTGTTGCAGGTGAGCATTCTTCACGGGTTGTCGAATTCGCTATTGGCCGGAGTCTTGCGAGTGAGTACAGTTTAATTGAACCGACTGCGGCGAAGCCGGAAAAGGATGTTATGTGTTCGGTCGTAACGAGGAAAAGGTTGAACTAGTTTTTATATATATGACATGTCTAAAGTTTTCTATAGTGCTAATCTCTCCACTTAAGATCCTTAATATGACATGTCGTTTTGATTCTTCTGTATTCGGCGGGAGTCAAGGAGTGTATTAAAATCATATGAAACCAAAATGGCTGATTTTTTTCGCAGTTCTCTCTTGTTATCTATGGTTTCGAAAAAAGATTTTTTCGTATCTCAGTTGAGATACGTACCTAGTTTGCGTGTTTCTGTTAATAGCTCATGTAGCGACGTACCGAGGATGATACACGCCTTCCATGTAGTACCGACACGTCTTGTGCCTATATGCTTTGTTCGCCGCGAACAATTGTTAATAAGCGGCCCAAATCCGTCCGCGCACGCGATCTTCTCGCCAATAGACGCCGTTTTCGCGCGCGTAACGTTGCGTTCGTTTTGTTCGTTGATTTTTTTTTCGAAAGACGACTCTGGTCACCATCCCATCCGACAGTCGTCGACCGCCGTCATACACTCTTCGCGAAATCCTCGCCGCGAAAGACCACTTTTGTGGTCTCGGTCGTCCTGAATTTTTTTTATTTCATTTTATTATATTTTTTTTATTTTATTTTTATATATTTCCTTACTTTTATTTCTTTTCTTTTTCCTTCACTTTGTTTTCTTTTCTTTCACTTTGTTTAAAGGTGGCAACGCATTTGGAACCCTACGGGTGTTGCTAATATGCCGCCAGCTCTTTGCCACTTTTTCACATAAAAAATAATGCGGGCCCCGGCTGCCGCAACCAACAGACGAAACGCAGAAGTGTAAGACTTCTACGTAGTTCGGTAATTCCCGACGGATTCCACTAAGATACCGCCAGTTCGGAGACGCATGTTTCTCAACGGGGTGCTTGCTTGGGCCGCATTTTTTCTGTGATGATGATTCCATGGAAATCTGAAGCACCTGAGGGCTCGAAGGGACCGCACTCACCACACGAAACGCGAAAGTGTAACGCCGGTCTTCTGTGAGGCCGTTGTAGGTACTTCCCCGGATGAGCCTGCCAATTCGTGCAACAGCAAAAGGTGCTGCGTGGCCCTACCACGATTTTTGCATCGGGCTCGGTTGAGCTCCAGTATGGCCCGATATAAGTTTCATTGCTATTAGACCTTAGACTCTGGAGACACGTCGATTAACTCCTCAAAATTTAATAGAAAATGTATAACGAGTGAGATATTTGAAATTGGTTTTGTTTATATTCCTTAAAATGTTTTATTTAGTATTTACCGTTCAGTGTGTGTTTATTTAATCGGACTCGATGGTTACTTTATACAACCTCACGGACGTGTCAACAAAACACAGCAAAGAGTTTGATAGGAAAACAAAATGAAACCTCCTTTCACGCTACAAATAGGCTTTAGCGGAATTTAAAAATAAAGCGCTGCCCTTGACGAAGGTCGGGGGTGTAGAGGTCCGCGCGAACGATCGAGTTTAAATATTACGAGGAACCTTTTTGCCCGCGATAATGTGTTACATCGTAAGTGATGTTTCGTCGGATCGGGCACGCCGACCCCGATAAGGACCATTACATTAACCTAATGGATTTTAAGAAACCTTTTAAAACTGCGTCCTTAAACGAATATCGTATCTAAAAGGTACGTTCACACGTTCACAGGACATTAGCACAATCAGCACTCGGGTGTTCGATTTTATTCCGATCCATTCGAGGAGGTTCTAGACCTTTTTGGAATTGAACGTTTTAATGTGTTGTATTCATTAAGTAAGTCCCAATATAAAGCGGAGATAGGAACAAACGCAATAGATGAAACGTGAAACGTTTATTCAGATATGTTTTTCACCGAACTTTCCAGAACGCACCACGACTCGGTATTTTCGGATCAATACGATTTTGGGATGTTCAAGAAGAAAGCTTCATCTCGCCTCATAGGCCGATATCGCATTTGTATCTATTATGGCGTTGCCAGTGTCTATCGGCGACTGTAATCCTCGCACTTTTTATCAGCATCTTTTAACTGTGGTAGGGTCAGGCTACAGTATTCAGTACAGTACAGTACGAATGGGCAGGTCGGTCCGGGTAAGTACCAGGACCTCATGAAAGCTCCGTGTGAAGTGAAAATACTTCTGTGTTTCTCCTGGTGATCGACGAAACCGAGTCCCACTTTGTGAGAACGTGGCACCGCATCTGAATCCCTGTTGCAAACGTCCACGAACAGTGGATGTCACTTATCATAAGAAAAAGTGCATAAACTTTTAATCTTACGTAAAGAAGCAAGTATACAAGTCAAGCCATGTAGTAAAATAGTAACAGGATAATAACATTGTTATGTATATACAGCTACCCTTCGGGAATTGCAAACATTATACCATGATTCGTAATATGTTTCTGAGTACTCTCCTGCGCCCTATTGCTTTTATAAAATAAAATATTTATCTCGTTTCTATTATTTATTCTCGTCTGTATTCATGACGGAAATAAAACCGTTTAAAAACTTTTAAGTTAAACGGTTTTTTTTTTTTTTTTTTGTTAAATTTTCTTTTGTTAATATTGTATTGTCATCTAAATTAAATGTGTGTACCAAATTTCAGATCAATCTGACAACGGCAAGGTGCTCAAATTTCAATTTCTAATTTTGACCCAAACAAACAAATTCCGTACGGGTCGAGCTAAATAAAACCGTTTAAAAATACGAAAGCAACTTTCTTTTGTACGCTTGCTGCCGACGAACTCCCATTCAATTTGATAGACATATTTTTTTCATTAACTAATACATCACAACAGTACACGACGAGATACTAAATCGTCCTGGACGTAAAGAAAGTACTACCATAGATAATACAATATCAGAGCAAGACGGCGATGAAAGAACTCCATCGTGCAAGTCTTGTCGGATTTTGGCACAGTTTCCCCTAACCTAGCGTATGTCACACGTCATCCGACACACAGGCGTTGAGCCCCGCCGCGTCGCTCAAAGCCTTGCTAGCCTCTGCCGCCTTTGAGCACGTTACTCTGTGGCCTTTTGTGCAAAAAGCTGTGTTTGCGTGTTGCCGTGAAATTACGCCCGACGTGCTAATCTCGCGTGCGTGACGCCCGGCCGTCACGCTGGGCGGATGCGGGGAAGGGTTGGGTTGCGTGTGTACTCCTCTCTGCGTCGATGAATAATTTATGCGACGGGCGAAGACGTCAGGGCCGTTTTTGAATGAACTCAGCCGCGAGTTCGAATTGCCTTCCTCGCAGCGTGACACGAATCCGACCGAGAATCGATACTGTCGCCACAGCGTAGGAATCATGCAGTCGATCATCGTCTTTGATGTCTTCTCAAATTGTTATCGCCCGGGCGCTCGCTTTTCATCCAATAAACTCAAGTGAGCCGAGTTCAAATACCAGTGCAGGCACCAATGGAATTTTCAATTTTAAGTGCTGAATTATCACGTGCTCAGCGGTAAAGGAAAATATCGTGGACCTGTATTTATATTCGAAATAATAACAAAAATATTTCGAAGATATGTGAAGTCAACCAATCTGCAGTGGGGTCGCGTGATGGACTACGCCCTAATACCCGTTGTGCAGAGGAGGCCTTTGCCCAGCAGTGGGACAAATATAGGCTGTTACTTTACTTTTTTAATTTACTTTACTGTAATTCGGGTCCAAGTAGGGATAATCGCGTCCCAAAGATAAAACGACGATCCGGGTCTTCAATCTATAAACAGTACTACTTTCGAGTACCCTTGGGAGTAATGAAATGATCGGTCTATTTAGAGAAGAGATATGGGATCACATCGTTAAACGATCCGCTATATCTCAAGGGTTCTTCCTCGGTAGCTGCTGCCACCATTATCACTACATTAATATCGAGTTCTTAGATCTTTACAGTCTTTATAGACTCTAGTACAGTCGTTTATCTTACAGTAAGCGTTTGCGATACCTTTGCTTAGGAGAGCCTGAAAGTAGAACCAATTCGAAGGAATGATGTTACTTATAATATGTTATATTATTTTCGCTAGAAGTAATTGAATCGAGTGTTTGTGTTCGTAAAATATGTTTTGAATAGCGGGAGCGAGTACCGATACTTCGATGGCTCCAAGGTAAACTGCTCTAAGTGAAAAAATCAAATTTTGCAGGCAAGTAGTTTAAAGTAGCCAGAAAGGTATTTTGGGTCAAATGTTGTAAACTACTGAAGCATTAATTTTAAATTTTGTAATAAGTATTGACATGTCGTGTTATATATCACGCTGAGACTATTTTTTGTGTAATTTAAATATATTTCGAGATTTTGCACTTTCGACTTTTTACATCGTTGATTTCCTTTCATTCATCTTTTATTATTCCACGTAAAAGGCTGATCTTCCGCCCATATACGAGAATCAATATTAGTATATGTTTTATACTAAATTTTTTTTATTTTATGTTTATTGCAATCTCTTAGTAAGCCAGATACATCTCCAGCCAGCAATTTTAAAATATTTTTCATAAGTTACGAAAAATATAATGTTTAAAAAAAAGGCGCATGTGATATAACGAAAACCGAACTACGTAAAAAGGCAGATAGAAAGAAAGAAAGAAAGAAAGTAAGAAAGAAAGAGATTTATTTGACATAAAACAGTACACAACAATCATTTAAAACAATAAAAATTTGACAAAAAAAAAACATATACATAAAACTCCAGTATGTTCTATATTCTCTTTTCATTATAGTACGTCGCCATTCATGCCAAAAAAGACATCACTTAGCAAAATGTTGCAGTGAAATTGCAACGTTGATTTTCAGTAATGACCAAAAATTGGGGAATACAGTCCCGAGTCCAAAAAAAGAAATACCAAAAAAAAGTAAGAAACTAAAATTATTATAAAATAGAAACTCAAAAAACAACAAAAATGGGAAAGTCAATTAGGATCGGAAATGTATCCACCAATCCATACATGTGCGTGCGTCAGGCATGTGCTTACTTTTCAGTTAATGGTACGGTTTTAGTGCGAGAAACGAGAAAAAAAGAAACAAAAGGACAAAAATTAACATAAAATCTTATAAAAAGTAACAAAAAACATATGATGTTTTTAAATCAGAAGAAACATGAAAATTTGGACAGAACAAACAGATGGTATTTTACACTTTTTCATAGAATAGGGCAAAGTAAACTTACTGCGCTAATAATTGGAAAAAGGCGTAAGCGGCAGTTTCACCCCTTTACATACGAGCCATCGACTTTGGCCCTTCCGTGATAAAAATGAATGTCTGTGTACCATTTAAATACGCAAACGTTTTTATATATAATAGCCCGTATGTCATCATCATCATTTCAGTTTGTTTGAGTCAACTGGTAGTTCTCTCCCACAAACCGCCACGAAGCACATATCATACATAGATATAACATGTAAGACAGCTACATTTTAGTGCATTGATGAAAAGTATTTGTTAATCTAATATAATTTGGAAAGTTTATTTCGAAGACTGGACTCCGCAAGCAACAACCGCAAGGTGACTTGGATTAATGGGGTGGGAAGTGTTATTTTAATATATTTTTGTGATGCTCTATTCTGCTTATTAACAAATCTCGTTGCTGTACTCTAATTGCACTGGCAGGCAATATTCTACATCGAAGCTCCATGTTTCCAACTCTTGTTCACTTTTAGAATTTCAGCTGCTAGTCTCTTGTGTTATATAAGTTACTCATAAACGGACGGTTGCTCACATTAATGTTTGTCTCATAACACGGAAGTAGCGGATATTGTGTGTCATTTGAAAGCGAATAACTTTTCCAATTTGTAAACCTTCATAATTCCTCAACAGACCTCCACAGTTTTCATTTCAGCCAACCAAACAGTATGGAATATTCCATCTCCGCCCTGGGACCTTCCACCGACTGAGATTTCCGTCCGAGCATCCACCTCTTCAAAATATTTCGCACCAAGATGTAACCGATCTTGTAAAGAATTTCACACTTTGTTCGCGTCGCGTCCAGGAATTCCTTACTGTGCCTGGGGAATGTCGCCGTTACATATGATTGTGTGAAAGGGGTTGGAAGTATGTCCCAACGATCACAGCGACCTAGAAGACCCATTGAATCCTAAACACGGTTCATATCTCTGTTAATTAATGCCTGAGACCACTGGGTTCTTGACTAAGTACCATTGCACAAAAACAAGAAACATCAATTTCTGTAAGTGATAGATGATAGTATAACAGGTCACTTACATGATATCCTGAGTTGCCTTTATAAAGGCAGATAAAAAGAAAGAAAAGATAACTAATGTAAGTAGTGGGTTTCAGTGTTGGGACATTTTTCAACGTTGTTGCAGCTTTAATGTTCGATAGTTTGTTTTGTAACGGGTAATCTTTGATAATGGTCAGTCGATTTTAAAATCCTATCTTATGAAGTTATAAACAATCTAATTTAATTTTGCTAAAAATGTAACGCGAAATTCGTTACGTTCGCCCTCAAGTTGAGCTTTTGGGCCCCGCGGCCGACAACTAACGAATTATAGCTCGCGAGCCAATTCCGAAGGTATACACGCACCCGCAAACAAAGAAATTGTGTTGGTTCCTCGGTTAGCCACAGTTCAAATACGCCCCCTAGGCTTACGCTTTCTAGTTGGATATCTCGCCTCGCCCCGAGGGCTCAAACGCGACCGGCCTTATATAACGGACCGTACTGTTTGCAGGGTCACCGTCTCTCGAGATTATAATCAGCGGCACGCAGAGCTTGACCTTCCAGATGAGCAGTTTCGAACGTAATATGCGATGGCGCGACTTGTTGTTAACATGCAGCTATATTTAAATGTTTTAATTTTGGTGACTTTCACGATAGATGGCGCTGCTTAGAAAAAATCGTCTCGCTCGCCCTTATGAATATATTATGATTTTTCGTAATAAATATTGTACCACCTGATACTTTAGTTTATTTGAGTGACCTCAGTAAATAACGTTATCGCGCAATTCCTACGATTACACTTCTAAAAAGGGGTGCGCAGTCTCACTTGTCTGCGAATCTGTAATCAGCGCGTCGTACGCAAGTACGTGTACAAGTAGAAAACGTTTGGTCACAACAAGCATGACAAACTCTGCGGGATTGTACTATCTATGAGAGGGTTGATATCGTTTTTTTTTTTTTAAGATTCGATGGAATACTCCCAAGCGTCTCCGTGTTTTACTGTGTCCGCTGATTTGTAATCCCTTCAAGTGAGTCTCTTGGAAGGATTCTTCAGTGTATGGCACGCCCCGTTGTCGTAATTTAATATTGTCAGCGATCGTACAAAGTATGCACTTTGTAGAAGCGAAGAGCACACGCGTAGGTATTCCCTCGTGCACTCCACTTCTCAACGTTTTACGGTTCAGTTTCAAATACAATATTTGATTTGAAATGCTATCAAAATTTTTGACATTGAAACAGCTCAGTCTGTCTCGTAACCATGATAACTAAGACGTTTGGAATTTTAAAAAAATACACGCGATGTATTTTTTTTTTTTTTTTTTCAATTTACTAGCTCGAAATTCATTAAGATAGAACATGTTTGTGTTGAAAATTTATTTCTACGCACTCCTTGAAATAATACTGGGGCGAGTTTTCATAAGTGTATCTTGACAGTTTCTTGCCCTTATCTCAAAAAGGAATTTTGCTTAAAAAGAGCGTCCGATGCTTGAGATTTGCACATATGAACAGAAACTCGTGGGTGAAAACACAATGAGTTTTGACTTTTATTTTGAATCATGGGACGTGGTTCACCCATCAGGCCGGCGACCTATTTAGCCGTCCTTTTATAACAAGGCAGGTCCGGTGGAAGTCAACGGGGGAGGCCTATGTTCAGCAGTGGACTTCCTACGGCTGATATGATGATGATTAAGTCCGGTTATAACTCGCCGTATAAGACTCGCTGTGGTAAGGCCACGCAACAGCCACCGGCCGCGCCTTTGCACGAATCGCCCGCTCGTACGGCCGGGATGTACCACGACCTCACAGAAGACCGGCGTGAAGAAGTTTACTTTTACGTTTCGCCTTCTGAGTGGGAAAAGACGGGTCCACTGTTTTGTGGGCTGACAGCGGTCCAAGATATCGGGCGGCGGAACAGCAGGTGACTCCGTGGTGCAACTGCCAATGTGTTGGTTTCGGCGCCAAGTGTCGTGGGCTCGATTCCCATACGAGACAACTATTTGTGTGAGCCACATATGATTGTTCCGGATCTGGTTATTTCTCCACGTTAAGTTTAATGTTACCAAAACGTTCTTACAACACAGGGTAACATACCCATGTTAACATACAGGGAAATTTAAAGAAAACCATTCAAGAAAACCAGGGTTCCGTATCAT